AGAAGCCCCATGGCTCGTGCTACAGTAGATGAGCGCGTTGGACTGAACATGGGATCTCTCAGAGACGTATAGTTGATAATAACACTGAACGAAATGACAGCAAAATTACTTTCAAAATGCTCGCATGCCGATCATACCAGTCGTGAAAGCTCTTTTCGAGGTGATGGCTCCGGTACGGTTTGTCGGACTCACAGAGGGGAGCCGTGAGTCAGACGTCGTGCCGGACGTCGAGCGGCATCCGGCCAGGATGTGACTGATCACGGATCCGTCCCCGGAGAGCCAGGACTTCGGCGGTCCAACCGGCGGTCGCCGCATCGAGAGAGAGGGAGAGAGAGAGAGATAGAGAGAGAGAGAGCCAGAGCCAGAGCTAGAATCAGAACTAGAGCTAAAGCCAGAGCAAGTCTTGTCTTGTCTTGTCGACTTGTCGACCCATCGTTGCCTGCAGTGCTGCAGTCCTGACATTGACATCATGTGATGTGCACAGTAGTTTCTTTATTGTTTGTGCCTGGAAATACGATGCCATACGAAAATTTAAGAATTGTAATGTTGCCATGAATTGATTGCCAAAACATTCCTTTTGCTGTGGTAAAGATGGTAAGGATGGGCTACCAAAAATTTTCATTTTGCTCATAACTATTCATGCAATTTATTGTTAACCCTGGTATAACCATCGTGTTGCACTGACATTCTTACTGTTGATAGTCGTTTGGTACTGTTAAATCAGTTGTTAGAAGTCATTCATAACTTATAAGCTGCTGTCTCATAGCCTTGACAGAGTAGCTAACCAACGTGGTGCATTGTGTAATGGCATGGGTCAACAGCCGTGGCAATACCTCAGTGCTGTACTGTGCTATGACATAATGAACAATGATATGGTTTTTGTACTGCAATCCCTGCTGCTTTCATAATGAATTTCACCATAAAAAGACGGGTCAAGTGTCCTCTCTTGTAATGACTCCCCATCTAATGTATGGCTGACCAAAATCACATGATACAAGATACAAATCACTTTGAGCAAAGCAGACAACAAATAAGTGGCATCACTTGCTCAGCCTGTTTTGGGAATCCACAAAACGTATGTGAGTAAGATACAAAGACATCTTCCACTTCCACAGTCATGCAGCATGCTGCAGCCATCAGGCTGCTTTACTTAAAAAATAACGGGAAAGTTTTACATGTGGTGAAATGATGCTGAAAAATGCTGACCTTGCACAAGGCTGGAAACATAACAAGCGCTTGCAGTTATGGTTGGATGGGCAAATGCAAGGAGGTCATGAAGCTGCCAGTGCACTCAAGGCTTATGATAAGAATATTATAAAGTGCTATCTAAGACACCAACAGCAACACTTTTCCACCTTTCTCAGCACCCAGCATCTCTCGCAAGTTGCAGTAACTATGACATTGATGACTCACCAGCAATGCTCGCCTACATACAATATTTGTGAAGACAGTACAATGTGCATCAGCAATAATACAGCTCCATGTTTTCAGAATTATTTAAGGAAAGACAATTCTCCAATGGCATATACTGTGAGCCTAAACAGAACACGTGCATTAATGAGCTGTACGCACCAGCCGCTGCAGGTAAAATACATTGCTGAGATTATGACACGCAATGGATTAATTACATGCTGTAATATCTCAATAGGTTCAAAATGCTGGCAACATCATAATGAAATACCAGCTTGCCTTCGTACATCCCTGCAATATAAGTGTTAGTGTTTCTCTTAGTTTCCCAGCGTTCCTTCGTCATGTTCAAACACAAACATAAAAGTAGAGGCAGGCATTAATACCTCACATGTTACTGGGAGTCAGTAGACGTAAAGAAAACAAAAAACAATGTTCTCTCTAAGAGGTACAAACCTCGCACGCACACTCCCCATTACATCGAGATCAATACAAGCCACTGGCACACACCACCAGTAATCACACCCATTTCAAGCCCCCGATTTACACTCTTTTGTCGAATAAGTGTGATCTCACACGCACAGCTCGCGGAACTATCAAATTGCAGGTTTTCTCGCAATTTCCGCACAAATTTTCAGTCAAACACCGTATTTCACAGTGACCTCTCTTCAAAAAAGTCCCTAACGGAGGTTCATGATGATGCGGCTTAAGAGATTTCTTCAAGAAGAAAAAGTCACCAACAGGGGAAAAAGACAGATTTGCCGTCGCGTCTTTTTTTAAAACTTTCGGGAGAGATCCCATTTTTGGGTGCCGTACTTTTTTGCAGACAGTGGTGTTCTTTTTTATAGCATTGACCTGTGGCCTGGAAACAAGGAAAAATGCCCCGTTCACGACGAGTGCTGCACAACCCGAAAGAGCTCACGCTTACGTTCGCGACACGCATTTAACAGCCAAATGTTGTTAACAGTCAATCATCTTCCGCGCATTGCATCAAACGTGCCGCATCATTGTTTTTGCGAATGTTCCAGCGGCCAAGCCCTTTTGACATTAAGCATAAAACAGCCTGTAGTAATGACCGCGATCGCATGACGTTTTTATGACGTCATTTATGCCGAGGCAACTTTGAAAAGGACATGACCGTGAACTGCATCAAAAGCTCCTTAGCATGGCTATTTCAGTTCAAAACGCCTTACAAATGTGGAACATTCCCTTTAATCGAGCCTGGCGAAAAAGCAGTGGATGATTTAATATGACCTCGCAAATGGTAATGAGCGTCATGTTGTTGGATCACATATTCACCTCACTCAGCCGGTTCAAATAGTTTTCTGAAAATCGAGCAATTTCAGCTTTGCAGACCAATATTTACAAAACCGTGCCCTGTAGCAACACGGAACTCACAAATACACGTCGCGGGTTCAATTCCGAGCACATGAACAAGACGTTTCGTGTGTGTTTGAGCGAACGTTTGTAATGTAGAGGTTCGTGAATGCAACAGTAATGTCCCACCGCCCACGATCGGCTTATTCGTTTATTGCCGCCCACCGCCCGCGCCGGCCCGAGATCGCCGTTAAGTAATTGTAAACCCGACGCTGTTCAGAAACCAGCAGCGCTGGACACGTTTTGGGGTTCAAACACGCAGGATTAACGCATCAGAGGGTGCAAAAGAACAATGGGGGCGATTGCAAGGCGTGTGGATAACATACACTTAAAAAACCTGATTGGGGTTTGCATCGACCCCACTCTCAGGGCTCAGGTGTTTCTTAACCAATTTCACAGGGCGTGGAGGGAGAAGCATGCATAGGCCATAGCCATGCATCTGTCTAGATGGCCAAATCCCTCCTCAGTGTCTAAGCCGACCCCGGTGGCTAGTGCCGACACTGTAACTACTTCGTTTTGGGTCGTTCGCGTCGGGCTTGTGCGCAGGGATGATTAAATCTAGGTTTTTCTTAGGATGGCAGTTTAAACTTCAAATTGTGTGCATACTCTTGTAATACAATTCTTAAAAACCAAGGGAAATGCAATTTTGAACGGGGTTTTTATGCCGGCAGGCACGAGACCATGCATTTCTGCCCGTCTTGTCTACTAGAGTTCCGTGGCAAGTAATTGTGACGCAGTAGCGACCGCATCCTCGATTCACGGTGCATCCCGGCTAGATGTAGCGCGCCGCATTTTTAGCAGAGTAAATCAGACTGAAAATTGCATTTTTACACGCTTTTAAAATATGTCCCACGAACGTGTTGTCAAATGTTTGGAGAGGCTCGTGACAACAACAATAACACTGCATGTTGTAATGGTATGAAATTCATTCCTATCGAAATGCTTAGCTCACAATCGTAATATGTATTAAATCGCTCCAGCTTGCAGTCGTCACACATTTCAATAGGCAAAGTGGGTTCAGATATTACAGCACAAACTACGCTGTCGGCTTTTATTACATTAAGTTTTCGTAGGAAGCCACTTAATGAGAAGAGCTGCATTAGCCCAGCAATCTACCAGATAAAACGCCTTACCTTGTAAGAAATCTTTTAACCTGCGAGTATGTCACCGGTTGTCAATTCCTCTTCGCCTTTAGATAAAGTAACCATACTAATGATGTTGACAACAATGATAACAAATCTAGTTTGGTAAACTGTCAGGCAACATTAACCAAACAACAGAAGAAACAACTCCATCTCATCTATGCTGCGTGCGTTATTGTAATGCAATGCATTGCTGTGCAGCGCGGTGGCCTGGAATGTGGCATGCTGTGTTTCTCTCAAGTCGAAATGTAAACAAAAAATTGAGGTTTAAAGCTGGTATTATTGTAGGCATTCCTTTCTAGGCGATGTCCTTCGAATTGTACCCGTAAGCAACATTTTACTCATGAGTTGGTTATCGTGACACCGCGAATATATCACTGGCTATTCACGTATGCATTCGCATGCTTGCTGTCTTATCCAGGTTTGACATGAGTGAAACTGATCAGTGCCACGGATTTTTACGCTTGAAATATGCGAGACAGATGTTTATTAACTAGACGAAGATAAGTTTTCAACCATACATTTCTTCTAAAATAATTTGCAATGACTCGCATGTATGACTTTGGCTTCGGAGTGCCTGATAAGCAGAGTTTGCTGCCACTTGCTTGAGCACAGCCCCCACGCAATGCCCCCTCTTCATGGGATGATTTTGTCGCTATCCTTTTGCCGGGGAAGACTCTGGATCGATTTACGTGTGGCACCATGCTGACGAAACATGCAGGACCGTGGGTGAGATAGCAGTGATATCAGCTTGAAATTAATACAGCTTTTATGCTTCGCTTTTGGATGACATTTGATTTGGCAGCTCAACCACCTCAACGGTTCTTAGCATCCTTAAAACGTGTGCCACACAACGTCGAGGAGCGCCAACACCAATCCTGAGCTGAGCCTGATTTGATTTCATGGACATGTCATACCGCACACAGTGCACTGCTGGCCATGCTTTCGTGAATCTGCACTCCCAGCTTTGCATGCTGCGTCTGTTGTTTGCGCGTGGTTTTCCGTCCTGAAGCAAAGCGGCGGATGTGCTATCAGCGGCGCCTCCGGTGACCAGCTCTGTCTGACGCTGACAGCCCGCGGTTAGCACTCCCCAGCGAGACGTGTAGTGACATGGGTGCACTCAAAGTTCTCCTGCGGCTGCTTGTCATTGGTGTCCTCGGTAAGTTTTTACTAGTCTTTCTGCGGAATGACACCGCTTTCTGTTACATTCCATTGTGCCACTGCGCTTTCCATTCCATTCCATTGTGCCATTGCGCCTTCCACTACATTCCACTGTGCCATTGCGCGGGGGTTGCATGGTATCCGGGGGCCAACACCGTTGTGACATTTCGCCGTTGGTTTTGTCAAAGTCGGGCGTCGGGCCCACCGTGTGGTGCGCGCATGGGTTTGCGGCCATGGACCGGGATTATGTGACCCGTTAGTGCGGTTAGTGGTCACTTGGGCGTGGTTCAGGTTGTAAGGGATGGGCGCAATCGTGGACTTTCACGGCTCGTTAAAATCGGTCACCACAAATTGTGCGTGAGGCTGAAAGTTCATCATGGGAGTCCAACAGTGTCGTCAGTTTGGAGGCAGCCCGACTTCAAGGCTATCTCTGTGAAACGGTTGATCATTTTTCCCACACCCAAAAAACAAACAAAAAACATCAGCACAACTGGCACTAATGGCCGACAGAACAGGTCATACATGGATGGTTCGAGCAGCGTATCTGGGCATGGAATGTATTAAAGGAAATCTTCAAAAAGATATACTTGCCACTTAGGAAAGAGGGGAAGGAAAAATTCCATGAAAGGGAATGTTCCACATTGGATGGTGTTCAAGCAGACATCAAGTATTATGAAATAAGCTCACTTATAGCTGTTTGTATATTTTTAAGTGAAAAAGCCTGTTCTAGGCAACACAACTTCTCCGTTAAGTAAATATGTTCCTCAATACGTCATTGCTTCATTACGTCATCGTACCTTCCGCAACAATGACTGAGAGCCAAATGATGGCCGTTATATCTGAAAATCGTGCTCACGAACGTCACATATGAATGACTCGACAATCATATTTTTCTTGGCCTTGATCGCTGCATGGCTCATGTACTTCAGGATATGAACGGCGTCAGTATGGTGTCATGGATGCCTAGGTGTCCTTGAAATAATACCCCCACCCCCCCCCCCCCACCCCCTCCCGAAAAAGCCTGCATATTTTCGCGGGCGCGTAGCTCAGAAGCTAGAGTGGTTTAGGTCTCAAGAGCGGTAGAGCTGTGAACTACACCGGTTGATCTGCAAGGTGGCTAATCCAGTTCAAACCGCCATGTAACAGTCGTTCACTCCCTTCAAAGGGAGTGCTCAATGATTTAATGGTCACCGTAGCCCTGTAATGGTCAAACGAGTTGAATGACCCCAACACGCGCCCGGGTAACAGGTTGAATACCTTTGGCTAATTCTGTTCGAAGCGAGCATCCGAGCGGCGACCCTACTGTGAACCATCTAAATGACGGTGGAGCTCTCCGTTTGGACAACGGAGGGTTACCTAGGAGGTCACCGCAGGGTGCCCCTCGGTGCCCTGCTGTGGCATGGTTCCCCAGCCAGATCTATTCCGTCCACCGTATATGACGGGAACACGTGATTGTGATTGTGCTGTTTTGAAACGAAAGTTGATGGGCGGGTTTTAGATCTGCGTTTAACGGTTCAAAAACTTAGAAATAATGAACAGATCGTCGCACCAAGGGCAGACAAATCCAATACACATGTCATTATGGACAAAGCTTCTTTTCTGAGCAAAATGGGCCATCTCCTTTCTGATGCCTCAAAGTTCATTTGCATTTCGCGGCATTCAAATAAAAGCCTGACTAAGGCGGCCAACGGCCTGGTCACCACGACAACTGCCCTGATGGGCCGGCAGCACTTCACAAAGGTCGCAGGTAAATGCATCCCTAGTTATGCCCACGGCAACGTAAAACCACCTGACACGAATAACCCCCTGAGACAACCTACATCTCAAATTCCCATACATACCTATCAGTTGACAAAACTTCAAATACCATGGTTGAACCCGACACACCAAGATGGTATAGCTTAAAGTCAACAAGAGAGCTCGCGGAAATTATCAAGTCCAGTAATCCCGCTGCTTGGCTTATCTTATTAGACGTAGAGCATCTGTTCACAAACGTGCTGACTGATGAGGCGATCCGGATTATACTGGAATGCGTCTACGACCACCCAACCTTGCCACTTCTGAAGCTGTCACAATCCATCCTTTAAAAAATGTCCCGATGCTGCACCACAGAAGCAACCTTCTTGTGTTCAAATGGAACACTCTGCCGCCAAGTAGATGGTTTTCCAATGGGGTCACCACTTGGATGTTTGTTTGCGAATGTGTACATGTGCTGTCTTCAAAGACGTAAAGGTTAAATCACTTATATACCGTAGGTATGTCGATGACGTATTTGTTTATTTTAGAGACGAGGTCTACTTCCACCAGCTGCAGGCCACTATGCAGCGGCAATCGTTTTTGCGATTTACAGCTGACCTACGTGTCAACCGCTGTTTACCATTTCTTGACATCGATGTGTATGTGAGTGACGAATCTTTTGGGACAGAAGTGCAACATAAACCTACTGCTGCTGGCAACTAGATGGACGAGCTAGCGAATCCCCAGAGCTTTACCGTATGGCCGTCATGCATTCGTTTCAGCGACGCTCTAAAATATTTCCCCGGATGGTCCAGCGTGCACCACAGACTTGAACGGCGCAAGCAATTGTTCGTTAATAACGGCTACTCGAACGACGCAATTGACCAAGCGACAGCATCCACCTTGAATCGACGAAACCTGAAACCACTCGACAAGAAACCGACCTATCAGCTTCTTTATCGAAATCAAATGTCCACGTCGTGTAAGGTGAACGACAAACTTTGCAGAACATGATCAGGACAAATGTCACACCGACTGACGAAGACAACGAATAAGAATTGCCATCTTTTACATGAGCAAGACAACTGAAAGCACTGCAATAAAAAATAACCTGACAGCAGACCAAAACCAACTAGAGCATGATAATATAGTGTATGAAGCGATGTGCCCGCCCGGAGATTGCCGGCTCCGCAACTCGACCTATACTGGAATGACGACATGTCTATCACGAGGCATGACCACGCACCTGCAGGAGCATTATCAGATTAGGGTAGCACGGAATGAGGCTAGTAGCTGCAATCTGAATGGAAATAGAATGCTAGAGATATCATTTCAGTGTGAGTTACACCACAACCTGAGAACATGAAATCCCAACACCAGGTAAAGGCTTTCATGTTAGAACCTATCTGCCATTTGAAAACGAAGCATGGCAATGTCAAATGTTTCCCAAATCTGTCCAATCTAGACCAACCATGTCTGACTGGTGAAAAACCGGAGAAAGTCACATTCAGACAAGACAGTAGTGTAAGCCTTCTTCCACGGAGAAAAACCAGGAGAATGGAGATATGGTTAAGTTGATATATCGGCCACATGCCTTTATCGAAACAGTAACAGAAGTATTTTAGAAGGTAATTGTAAGTAGAAGACTTCTGCTATTGTTTCGATAAAAGTACGTTGGCGAAATATCAACCCAACATTATCTCCATTCTCCTGGTTTTTCTCCGAGGAATAAGGCTAATGCTACTGTATTATCTATATGAAAGCCACATTCTTCTAATCACGCTCTTATCGCAGGAGCCAAAGAAATACTGCGTAACACCAGCGCCTAATTTGCCTATGACAATATACGGACGCGGAATTTTGGCGTATGAGACGGCAGTTGTACCGTCAATATATCCTAAATATTGCAGTGTAAATCATTCATGTTTCATATTTCCGTATTCATATTGCTTTGCGCCACACATCTAGGTCCGATTGCAGTATTGTTTTCTCGCGTGCGCATGGGCCCATTTGGAAGCTGCTTTTAACGATTGGAATGGCTAAGACTGACACTTCTGTAGTTGGAAATCTGAACGATTTATCCAAGTTTGGCTTACGGTGTGTAAGTATGACGTAAAATGTCTTTTCCGCGTACTTTTGCTTGCGGGTGGGAGGGTTTGCATGTGGTCCATTTGCCATTATTAGGCAGACACCCAGAGCTACACCCAGGGTTTTTTAGATAGTAGAGTGCACTTTGTAACAAATAGGAAGTAAGCGAAGCGCCATATTTTTGTTCACTAGCACAGTAAGTATTGACTTGCCCCACTTCGTCTCTTGGACTCCACGCTGCTTGTAGTGTCGGCATGTCACAAGGATTGGAATTGAGGACGTCAGTTCAGAGACAAAATTTTGTCTTGGAGCACAGATACTCCCGTTATGGTTCTTGGATCGCAATGCATCATGCACGAACCAATTATTGTCTGTTTTGCTACAGTGGATTGTGTTACAGCCTGCTTTAGAGTGTCCGTGCCGTCATTGCCCTTTAACCTTACTCGCCCCATGATTGACCTAAGCAGGCTGTGACAGCCCGTGATTCGCCTGGACGTGCACCTCAAGAGCCAACTTTGGTGTCGCTTCTGAATAACGGAGGGAACCAAATTTTCAGAGGTCATATTTAAGATAACAAGATGAGAGCCACGCGTTGTCCTGCCCAACGCCGCGCGACTTAACATCCATCAGAAGCGCTTAAGGGACAAAATTATCCACTGACCGTACTTATCAACGACACCTTCCTTACGATCCCTGGCGTTCCAGTGGGTCGGACCGGGGTGATGCCGTCAGCTTGGATTAAAACCATTCCGGTTCAGCTTGCGCTTGTTTCTGCATTCCAGAGATGTCCAGAAACAGACGTGGCCCACATGTAAAGAAAACGTCAGCCGCCGCAATTGTTGTTTCGTCTTTGCCTGTATATCAAAGTCATTTATGACGAAGTTTATCATAATTCATTCCGCATTTGTAAACCCTGCCAGTTAAAACTTTGTCATTTAACGAATCCGTCACACATGTGCGGATATCAATGCAAGTATGACACATGATTGAATGAGGCCACTTGGAACTATTGGCATGTTTTTTAATTGCAAAAGATCGATCTAATCATACAAGTTGTTCAGTGCATTTGCGAGGAACATTATTCACGTACATAAGGCAGTAGTAACAAACTTTTTCCGCGGGGAAAAACGGGAGTACCGATCAATATAAACCGTATTTATCTCCATTCTCCTGGTTTTTCTCCGAGGAATGAGGCTATTACTGCCGTCGGATGTAGATCACTCTAATTAACACAATTTCCTTCTCAGGGAATAAGCTCCTCGGTGCGTCATCCTTTGATGACGTCATGGAACATTTCTATGACGTCAGAGTCAATGTCAGGTTGGCCGTGGCCACATTTGTTTTCGACTATGAGCACAATACAGCCTATGAGATGGCACATCCACGTGACTATGTATGGCGTTCTTTATGTCCGATTGTCTCACAAAGCTTATTTTTTCTAAATGCTGCTAAATTATATCAATCTTGAAATCATTATCTTCCGATCGGTGTTGGTTGCATCGAAATCGGTTGATAAATAACTTTGCAATAGTAAAAATACCTCAAATCTTAGAGATTTTCCCCAACCCACCTACCAGAAAGCCTTCAGACGTTGTTTTCAAATGTGTATGTAAAGCGTTGCAATAGAGTACCGCTTAAGTACCGTTTTTCACCGTAAATAGCTTCCAAAGCGTCAGAGGCAAGGGCTGGGCGTCCACCTCTTCGCTCGGAATGCAGCAAACACGAACTCGGATTGGACGTAGAGACGCCAACCTTTGTAGAGCTGTGAACAGTCAAATAGCTGAGCGTTTGATATGCAAAATAAGACGTATCTTTAAAGCTCCAACATGTAGCAAGCCAAGGCCCGGTCATGGTCGCAGGGAATGTTTAAAACTAATGCGACAATGCAATGCTAGGCCATGCCATACAACTTCCCGGCCAGTAATTTTGATACGATCCCAGTCAAGATAATTGTGTTCATTCGCCAGTCCTGCAGTTACAATTCACCACTCTGTCGTGTGATGTTTGGAAATGTCAGCTCCAAACGTCAGGCACTTTGGTCGGGATTTGCGACCTGTTCCGTATAATTTATGAAATGATCCGAAACAGGATCCAAATACTTTCACAAGCAAAGTGTCAGAAGCGTTCTCAGAGCTGTCTATGGTCATTGCACCTAAAAAATGACCGATCCCGATTGAAATTTGCCAACTTTTTACAAAACAACCCGTCAGGAAATTATGACCGTCCCCCTTGCTGCCTATCGTGATAACATTTGAACTGGCCCCACACGCAAGGCCCCAAGTTGAAGGTTAGGGAGACTCACAGATCACACAGAGAGATCACAATGTTTTACTCGGAAAACTTTGGAGTTCTCAAAATTTTTCCCTTAAGAAAACTGGAAGTCCTCTCTAACGGTCAGATTCGGGATTTGCTTGGAAAGTTATTTTAAGTCATCATTATGAACGCATCCAGGAAAGGCAATACAGATAATATCAACGTCATCAGAACGGGCTTTCATTTTAGTGTAAGCGGGGCGTACGCCCATTGTGTTGCTGTAGTATCCGACAAGAAGGCATAAATCAAAGATTGGGCATGGGTGGAACCAGAGTGCCTATTGCAGCGGTGGACAGGGATTTGGAGGCTAACACTCACCCAGGTGGCCGGTTAAATACCCGTCGCTCGGTTGGGGGTCAATTTGACCCCCTAAAGTCTTAGAAACTAAGAGAGCTGGGGAGATGAAGCACACAGAGTGTGTTGGACTGTATGTTAACTCACTTGTGCCAAAATTTGGGGCTCTTAGATCATGACTGTTGGGTCAAAAAAGGTCAAGCAAGGTCGAACTATAGATTGGTATCAAAAGCGCTCCCAGATCTTCTTGTGCAACCAACGTGAACCAACATATCTGTTCTAGACAAAATGCCTCTGATGCTCGTTTAAGTTCGATGGCTTTGTGTGACCTTAGGAAGGTCATGGTGACCAGAATAATACAGGACTGCTTTGATTTTGCGTTTGGATAAGCCTGAAGAACTTCGCCGGGCAGAATGTTCCTAAAAACAAAAACTTGACCTGGGTAATTTTAGGCCTATTATAGTGGTTACCGGTAATTATATCACTATCGGGCATTTTGTAACCTTTGATAAGTCGATGGAAGATTGCCACGCGGTTCCGGGCACAAACAAATCCAAAATGAGCATCAAAAACTACTCTCGGCAGCAAGCTCTGGAGCAACTAAACAGGCTGATTTTGACTCGGTGTGACATACATACCCTTTTACCTGCCGTAGGTCTGTGACCTTATTAGACACATCTACATTTTGTATACCGAACGATCCGCTATGCAACTTTCTACGGCTGTGCAAAATTTGGTGTGGCCACGCCACGGCGTTCGGAAATCATTTCGAGGAAAAAATTCGGTCGGGGGATTTATTCCTGCCCGACCGCGTGGCAAGTGAGAAGTAAATATTTTTGATCGAACACGATACTGCTATGCCCCGTGGATAAAGTGTGGCGCTCACTTAGTGGATAACAAGCGTATCCAGGTTGCCAAAGGACATGCGATATTAAAGGGGGAGGTGATTAGGGCAAGTGTATCCAGCTTTGGAAAAGACGCATCTTATTAAGGGCATTATCAAGGATTAAAGTGTGGTCGATTGCCGCGGCCGTCAGCTGTTAGTGCCGGCGATCTTTGTGCACAGTAATCCCTTTGCCAATTGTGTCGAATGTAATCTCTTCCCTCGTATAGCTTCCACGATGTTGTTTGCTGCACAGACGTGATGGATAGAATGCAAGCAAGCAGCCTAATTGAGGCCTTCATATGCGAGACGATATGAGCTCCTCCTTGGTTCAATCCCTGAAAGCGTCTCCGGTACACGATGGTTCTCTTTATTCCTCTGCTGACACTTTTTATTCCTCTGATAACATATTTCATGCTGCTTTAAAAGCCCCCTTTTCAACCACAAGACCACCTGTCATACTTCTTTTGTTATAATAGAATGGCCGTACTCGTGTTGCAACTCTCTTACTCACTGAAAGGATCAGTGCATTTCGTGCACGCAAGGCAGTGCATATAGCTCGGGGAAGATTCAACTATTAACGTAAAAGCCAAATTATATTGGAGCTTCCTCCCAATAACGTCCTTTGGAACCACACCTGCGTATACCATGTAGCACAAATTTCGGTGAAATAGCTAGAAAAAAACAAATAGGACAAGTGGGAACAGTTAAAGAATTATAACCGTTTCGGAGAAACCGGCTGACAGGTGAAGGAACGCAGAGTAGGTCACTTTGCCCGGAATCAATTAAAATTGATATATGCATGGTTTTATTTTGTATTTGAATGAGAGGGCTACAGACCACCCAACTTTGGAAGAAAGGTGAACCACGTCCCGGAAGAACCTGTTTTGGGGTATTTTGATCGTAGGTTGATCCTGATTTTCACACTCAGACACCTTAGTTCATTTTGCAAAAGCAGCCCTGGCCGTATGCGTACGCAGCGTGCAATCTGGACGGCGGAGAAATGCCTCTGCGACATCATCTTAGCTGGTGATGCTGGTCTCTATCGGCAGGGAGCGGATTTTGCCAGATCATTGACTTGGGAGTGCAAGACTCGACATCATGCCGTTTCAAGGAGCAAGACAAAGTGACAGGGAGTGTTGGTGCAAGCTTCAGGTGAGGTCGCCCGCAGCTGGGCGCAAGAGCTTTCCTTTTCAGCTCAGCTGTTAAAGTACTCTGGCTGGAGGGTTCAAGGGCTGCTTCAGTCTCGGCAGGCGCAAGTTAGCGCGCTTGCTGTGCGCAGTTATCAGCTGGCGAGACATATGCGTATGCTGTGTGAGGCATGATTTCACTCACTGGGAACCGCGCGCTTAATGTGATTGCTTATGCCCTTCACATTTCGTGCTGCGCAAGCAAGCGAGCAAACACAACCTGCTTAATCACGCAATAGTGAAACCGGTAATCCCTTAGTATCAAAGCACACCTGTTGTGTTCTGCAGTGCACTCTCGCCGTATGTTATTACACATCAAGCCTGTTGCTGATCTGATGTGATGATGGTCTGTTTTTGTGCTCATTTAGCATGAAAGAGTGGAGATTGACTAACCATAAAACCGCGCCGACGCCCAAAACACTTTACCAAAGTGTCATTTACATCAAAGATGTTGATTTGTAAATTGCTTCAGCTTTTTGTGCTAAGACGTTGGTACGTTTCTGTAGTTTGCTTTAGTTTATAGTGCCTAAGACGTTGGTGCACTTCTAGCTACTTTTTTACAAACGCTATTATTTATGCTTGTGAATTACAAGGTCGGATTCCTGCTTTGCGGATGGTTTTCGAGTTTTGTGAATGACACAAACTCGTGATTACTATTCTTTTCGTCATAAATTAACCTTGCCTCCCATTGACAGGGCTACCTGCGACCAAAGTTGCACGGAGACCGCAACCCAGAGAAAAAATACGGTTTTTGGAACGGATATTTACCACCAGGTATGTATGTCAGCCTTATGCTGCAATTCTAATATGGACGTTCAACCCCATCAGGAAAGGCACCTCCACTGTTTTAGACTAGCAACACCGCCACACCGCGCACAAAAACTATGCGACAGGAGTTATTCGCACACATTGTGCAGGATGCACGCGCACTAGTCGACAGTTGGCATCTTCAACACACATTCACACACGTGGCGTCCTGGGCAGATAACTGAGAGACCTCAGTGGGACCTCAAGAAACATTCACAATCCATTAACGTGATCTGCTTCAAGGCTCGTACAAGGCAAGACAAATATTAACGTATTGTGCTGCATTGTGCTTATAAGGCATTAGTTTGTTTTTTACATCCTTCAGATGTAGGCTTTGGCATGGTGGACGATTTGCACTGCCGGACTAATATACAAATTTATTAATTATCATTATTCAATAACTTGGGGTGCTGGCAGTGTAGTGGTTAACGCAGACGCGTTAACCACTACACTACCACACTTTCCCACACACTGCGCGTCTGGGAAACCAGAGGTACAAGGTTCGATTCTCCGCGGTGCCCGCCCTTCCTGCCAAGGTGAAGGGCAGGCGGCGCCATATTGCCTCCGCAGCTGAGTGCGTCGTAAACCCTCAACGACACACACAGACATCCCCCGTGGCCTGAAGTTCGTCCCGTTTGGTAGGGCCTGCGCGCCGCATCCGTCCTCTCACGTCAGGTAGGGGCCTGGGTCGGCGCACTGGATCACCGGCAGCGTCGCCGCCTGTCGGCAGGACTCAGAACTGTGCGTGGCGGCCATTCACGACGCGCGGCTGGCGCACCCGGCGCGGTGGACGGGGCCGGCTGCTGTCGCGCTGGCCGTCGTGCCACACGACGGGGACTTCGCGGAGAGCTTCCGAAGAGGCGTCCGAACGGCACATAAGGAGCGAGACAGCACGAAAAGGGCCTTCGCCTTCACCAGTGCTAAGGTCATCGGTACGTTACCCGAACATCACTTGAAAGAGACTCAGTGGTTAAGGCCCACAAGCTTACCACCATTGTACCACCCAATGGGTCTTTTTGGCATCATCGCGTCAGTCACGTGTATTGCGTGGGCCATTTTTCGAGTACCCCAGCCAATCCAGATCTCGTGCGCATGATCCTCGGTTTCTTGTCAGCTCAGTTTACCCTTGCTAACTGTGATAGCCTGGCCGATGGCTCGAGTGCATGTGTTTACATCTTCCTGATAGGCAAAGTTCACAGAATGGCATGCAGGTAGATGGGCATGAACGCAACGTTTTCACTTTATCTTACAGCATGCAAAACTGAAATGACCCCACGTAATCTTAAACGCAGCCCAGCCGCAACGGCAGAAAGGTTAACACCGATACTGATTGAGGATGTTAGCCCCGAAGCTCGTAAAGAAGCGCGATAGCCGCCAGTTAAAATGCTGCTGGTCCTAAGTAAGCTGATATCCCTGAATAGTCTTAGCTCCGTTGTGCGGTAATTAACAAGACAGTCGTGCAGTTTCCCTACTCGCTTTAAGTGGAGTGTAAGACAGTCTTGTTTGCTACTTTCAAATTACGTCACGGTCGAGAGGACCACTGTTATTTGTTTCGATAAACATATGTTGCCAAAATATCAGCAAACCTCTACCTCCATCTTCCTGATCTGTCTACGCGAGATACGGCTATTACTGCTGTCAGCCGTATCGTCGAGATGTGTCTTATCTATATGCATAATGTTCCTCGCAAATGCACTTAACCTGCGAGCAAGTTTTATGAAACAACGAACGCCATGTATGGGCTCTCGTGGTCCATTGTTTACAAATTTTGCTGGTCGAATTGCAGACAAGAAGGGGCCACTAGCATTTCTAATTATTTGGGTACTTGGTCGTTAAGCGTGGAACGCTTATAGATGTTTGAGCGCGATTTATGTAATCAAGGGATATTTCTCCCTAGTACGACTAGAGTGCCACACATTTTTCATGCTCATGAGCTGAAATGTACCCGCAGCTCCATTTTTGTGCAAAAGGGCCTTATGCACCCGTCAACAAACACTCTGTGACTTCTCCACGTCTCGTGCCGTTTCAGCTATTCAACGCAATTTTAGCCGGCTGTCACCAATACCTGGCCGCTGATCGGCTGGCCCGAAAGTCTTTGCATTTTGTCTCTGGTACATTCAGCAGGAGCTTAATAGTCAAATCTGATTTAAGCCAACTAGACGAGTGAAATAAAATCATAAACCATGGTCTGTAAGTCATGATAACTGAAGATGAAAAGGTCGGAGAGGAATTGTGATTAAACGAGAACCAATTGATCGCGGCCAAATTATGCTAAATTGTAAAGACAAAATGACGACTCAGGGCATGATGTACAATTCAAAATGCTCCCGGGATGGTACTCTACGACTAATGGGTTTTGTTCCAATTTTTATGCTTGTATAGTTTGATGCCATATTGAGCCCCTGTAGAATACGCCTTCTGTACGAAGGCATAATGGTCTGTTGATCATTACTGGCATGGCGTATGTCTTTTGTATTGCATTGTGTCAACTAATGTGTGTGTTCTTGACCGCACCTGAGAGAAATTCACGGGTCAAGTAACCCAATGGGTATTCATTTGAAATTTGCAACGGGCTGGGCCGAGTACAGGTTCTGTGGAAATAACGCGTAGAGATGTGGGTATGGCGCTTGATGCGGGATGGGTAGGACGCTTACAAAATGGCAGGTAATGCAGTGCTTATGGCGTAATTCCTCGTAGAATAACCAGCGAAATGGACAGATAAATGCATTGGTATTTCGGCGACATGTCTTCATCGAAACTACTATCAGTAGTAAATTCAAAATTTCCTTCTGCAATTTACTACAAATACATTCTTAGGCAATTTTAAATTTGCTACTGATATTCGTTTCGATTAACGCGTATGACTGAAATATCAAAGCATTTAGGCATCCATTCTCCTGATTATTCTACGGGAAATAAGGCTACCAGTGCTGTTTTAGTGGCAAGCGTAATGCTCCTCACAAATGCACTTTAAAATACGAAACTATACGTTGATATTTCAAGCAATGTTTCACTATGGTATTGCATACGCTTCTTTTCATCATCATTAGCCCACTCACGCCACTTCTGCAGCTATTTATCCCCTCGCTCTGATTCGCCGTTTTCCATAACGCTGACTGGGAGGGGGGGGGGGGGGTTCCATACGACCCGTTGACCTTCCCAAATTAATAAAGATAGATGGGACACGATTTCAGAGCCCATTCCTGACATCACGGTGGTCCACGAAGGATTTCGCTACAGGGAAGGACGCCCGACCAGCCTGGAAATCTACGTCGGCGATTCGGAGAATACGGACATCGAAATCTTCAGTTCTTCCGGTGCTGTCAGTCGAAAAGCCCAGATCACTGGAGGTAAGCTGTCACTGCGGCAAGCTGTCGAGCACTTGCGAGGCATGCCTGTGGCAATCACGAAATTCGCTCGCCTGCGGTTGCACTTTGAGCTCTGCATTATCGTATACGGTAACGTGGAAATCCAGTTTAAGGATACAACTAGACAGCACATTTAGGTGAAAAGATTTTTCGTTTACTAGGCTCATTTCCTTTTCCAATTTCCATGTAACGGCTATCCTTAGGTGCTTGAGGGTCCAAATTTTGTGAAATATACTTGAAACTGCCGCCCCCCCCCCCTAAAAAATATTGGGTGCCTCATCTTTGTGCCGATTATTTGCGGGCAAAGCTTTCGATTAAATTAAAGCAGGAGCTCGGAATTTCCTACCGCGGTGAATGAATATCAGCACTATAAGTCAACACCAGGGCGATCTGAAGGCTAGTCATGTATGCCATCCATGTGGCCATGCATCTGTATCTTTTCAATAAATACACCCACACACCGTGCGATTCTTTCTGGATCCCGCAGCCCACGCGCCCCCCGGCCGTGACGGTTCCCCCTGGTCAGGCGGTACGGACGCATTCAGCGCCCGGTGCAGCGGAGTGGTCAAATTAATTCCCACTGCACCCCCTTTCAAACGCCACTGAACATTTCGCTTCCTGTTTCCACTCCAGGAAGTTGTATTTCCTGCGTAAGCGCCCCGCTATTCTGTCCTGTAAACAAAACACAATTTTACCTGACCTAGTGCACAAAAAACACAGCTCGAACTATATCCCATATGTACGGCGGGAGCCTGACTTGATACTTAGCGTGCGGAAGCTGCCCGTCGCCCGTATCAAGTTACACACTCTACATACGACCCCGACCTACACCACGAAGCCTGCCATCACCTCTCCCTTCAGCTGACGTCTGTTAACTGATGTTGCTGATGCAAGGCGATGTCATCTGCCGCGTCTGTGAAAGCTGTTATCTCGACTGAACGAAAAGACCAGTGCTTCTAAGCTGCTGGAGAGCTGACATGCACACCAATTATTCTTCGTTTCATTCACTAAGCGTCTGCAGCAACATCTGTGACAAGTGTAGGATTCATGCTGTCCCATATCCTCAACATCAGAAGCAAGTTGGAGTCGATTCCTCACATGCAACCCCTTGTCAGTTAAGCGCCGTTGGGACACCGTTACCAAGGACCAGGATTAGTTAACAAGGTACCTCCCAAAGGTGGTCTCCATGATCAGAAGACTATCCCAGCAGATTATGAGTGGAATGTGCGAAAACGATTGAGGTAGCGGACTCCATGAACCAGATCTTTCCGCGGGTATCCCATACTTAGCCGGTAAATCCACGGTGTGGCTTTTTTGTTTCCCTCCTTCCATGCAATAGCGGCATGCTACGCTCCCCGCATGCGAACGATGAGATTTACATTTACCAGCGGTGGAAGGGGGAGGGGTAGATTCTACCTCCCACGAGATCTCGAGTAGTGCTAGTCAAATTCTGATGATGGGCGAACACCGTTCGATTTGTGGATAACCACTCAAATTTTTCGATATTCTTAGAGCAAACACAGTTCGACTTGGAATGTGCCGTCTTTTGTATATCTGAGACTATAAATCAAAACGAAATTTGGTGCGGTCACGGGGCTGGCAAAAGCGCTTTTTAAATTTAAGGTTATGCTATTCTGATTTGTTTATGATAGTAACATGCACACTTAGCAACATACTTGGTGATCATTAAAACAGTGCACCGGGGCGGGTCCGTGTAAGCATTATGGAACAGCCACCATCAGCGTCACTTTTCTCCGTCCTCCCGCCACTTGACTTTCCTTTTGGGTGTTTGATCAACAGGTGTCGATTCAGATTTCTTCAGGTTTCCTCCGCCCCCAGTGTCTAACTTGGTCCATTTTCCGATGGTAAGTTTCCTCCCCCCCCCCCCCCCCCCCCGCCCGCTCCCGTGTACGAACCCCAATTACAAGGAGCACATTATCAATGGCAGCTTGAAGAAATCAACATTTTAAAACGCATGCTCGCTGTATTCAATGACGAGGCTCGTATGTTTTGTTGACTGCGGTCTATTTTGTGTGTTGTTAAAGTGTTCTGCTATTATTAACGGCTGGACTGGGATGCCAGGCGATGCTCACATAACGGAGAGAGGTATGTCGCAAAGGAGCGATCTACATAGTTGCATTTGGTTTTATGTTTGATCTTCCTCGTGCTTTGCTTTACTGTATTTGTACTTCATGTTGGGACACGATTGAAGGAAATTGGATTCGCACGTTATGATTATAATGTGCAATCATATGATTTGGCTGCACTGTATCTGACCAATGCCGACTTGTAGGAGCTGGATGGCAAATTGTCCTGCTTTGGCGCCGTTTGCGCGCGCACACGTCGGTCGTGAGATACTTTCTGATGGCCTTCCGTCAAATATTCGTCACGCTGTAGGTTATGCAGCGGGAGATATAAACAGGCTTGCAGGGACACCATTTTCGAACCATGACTTAAAGGGTCGGTACTGTTTCAGTTGAAGATATTGAAGAAGGCATGAGAGGTGATGAAATAAGCTCACTTATGACTGCTGATATACTGTCTGCAAAACGCTGCTCGAGCCAACACAATTTATTTGACTAGTAAATATGCTCCCTAATACATTATTGTTTGATTACGTCATCACACCTTGCACAACATTAATTGAGAGCCAAGTGACGACCGTTAAATCTGGAAGTCGTGCTTGCGAATGCTGGGTATGAACGATTCGACAATCATCTGTGTTTCGCATTGATGGTCGCATGAACCGTGGAAGGACATAATCTTGCTGCGCCGTGGATGCCTACGTGACCTTTAAATAGCCTCCCCGAATTGGTATGCACATCTTCGCGGGAGTGTAGCTCGGAAACAAGCCGGTTTTAGCTCTTCGGAATGGCAGGGCCATGGTCTACACCGAAGGATCTCCAAGATGATTTTTTCAGCTCGAACTCCCAAACAAATGTGAAACCCTCCCTTGGATTTGCATTTGTTGGATCCTTCTGGTCGTTTAGTCCAAGACTATATTCTGGTTTCAATCTGTCTGTCTCCCGGCAGCTGGCAAGTATGCCATCTATAAGCACGCGGCAGCCTACAGTCTCCGCTGTACTAATCAGCCGGCGCGCAGACGACTGTCGCCAATGCTTACCGTATAGGGAGAGTTTGCTTGCATCGCGCCTTGGACGATGGTTTGATCAGAACTGCAGAGCACGTCCCCTCCTCTCGTCTCGCTGATTCAGAATTTATCATTTTCAGTTTACGATCAATTCTGATTCTGAGATTACAATGGCGCCAAAGGATTTTTAACTTTGACCCGATGAATGTCAGGGGAAGTCACTGAAGTAAAAATAGTTTGATTATCCCGTCTTTTGGTGGGCATGCCGCGTAAGATAAGTACTTGAAGCAGATTGTCACTTTAAACTACAAAATTATCTCAATAGCTTTTAGTCATGTTTACTTGTTAAGTCAAATAAGTCGAACGAACCTCATGAATATCAGTGACGATTGGTTCATAAAATGTTTGCTGAAGGGGGTTCCATGAGAAAATCTGATCACTGAGGGCACTTCGGACACTAGGACCATACATGACCCGAAGGTTAGGACTTAAGAATCTCAAATTCTGACACGACTGAGTTCATGTTTGACCCTGTCTGTCCAATGAGGTTATTGATTCCAGCTTTCGCAGTTTTGGAGACCTCAGTGGACGTGAAATTGGCCACTGTAGTACATCATATTGACGTCATATTACATCGCGCAAAACGTGATTCGTGATCGAAGCTTGCATGGCCTGCTCACCATTGATTAAGAGCCAATTGGCATCCACTATATTTGAGAATCGTGCTAAAGGACGCCAAGTCTGAGCAATTCGACGATAATATTTTTCCTCGCCTTGAACGCCACATGGCCTATGTGGTGGCGGGATTGGAATGGCGTTGCTGTGTCATCATGTATACCTGAACGGCTTTGAAAAGTCTGAACAAAACAGTCTGCTTATCCTTGCGGTATGAAGGTTAGAAGCTAGACAGTTTTATGTTTTAAGACAGGCAGGGTGTGAACCGCACCGAATAATTTTCAAAATGGCTAGTTTAGCTCAAGATCCCATGCAAATGTGGAGCACTTCCTTTCGTGTAAATAGCACTGGGAAGCAAACATGCGTATTAGCAGTGTATTATGCGCAAATCAAGTGTATTCATTTATGAGTTCAGTTACGCGGCCATCACTACAGACCAGCGCTGGATTTCTTTCTTCTTTTAGCACCCCATACGGCATGACGTGCATTGACGATATGCTCACACTGAAATGCTGAATGGCTGAGGCACGACTGCCTGAGTATACACCCCAGACGTAGCGCAAATGATATACATGAACCGTGGACTGCTACAGATATGCCGATGCTTGCCTGCCGGCGACACGACGTCTTATGAGGCAATATCGCTGCGAGATTGACTGTATAAGAGCACGTAGAAGAGCACGGGCTGACTCCTTCGTAGTACTTAAATATCCCGGTAGGTGGCCGTGGCGATCCGGGATGTTTTGCTTCCCCAAAGATTGTAATGAACTCCTGTTTTTGGCCCTTTCTGGTTGTGTTTACTGGAAATTCGTTCCGCCTGCAAAACATTGACAAAAAAGGTTGAGTTCGTTACGCCTGAAAACCGTGCTCACGAACGCCAGATATGAACGGCGCGACGAGCGTATTCTTCTTGGCTTGAACGCCGCATGGCCAATATGGTGGAAGCACTCGCGTGGCATAGCTATAGCACCATTCATACCGGTGTGACTTTGAAAAGTGCACCAAATATTCCATGCAATTCGTGGGCGTCTAGCTCAGAAACCAGAGAGCCTGAAATCTTAAAAGGAACAGGGAGTTGAAACACCCTGAATACTCTTTAAAAGATTATCCTGGTGCAAACCCCTACACAAATGTGAAACACTTTTTTAAGTGTTGGCAATCCTCACTATCTTCACATAGTTAGATATCGGCCGTACCGAAGGCTGATGTGTCAAAT